AGAGAAGAAAGCTAGATTCTTTGACACAGAAAGAAGCTGACAAGGTCAGGCATACAGTGGGCAGTGGGTAAGCATTTATTCTGTTATTCCTGAAATAACTTTGTGCCCCCAAATCCAAGGGCTATCTTGTCCTGCCAGACTATTACTAAGGTGGCTATCAAGACCGGCAGACAACAGCTGGGGATGATGGCATCATGCCTATGATCCCAGGACTTGGAAGGCGGAGACAGGAGGATCTTTGAGCGCAAGGCTAGGTTGGTATATAATCAGGTCCAGACCAGAGAAGACTGCACAGGGAGAACTTGCCACAGAATTCACGTTGACAGACAGTCCCGTAGTCAGTTGTGCTTACTCTCTCTGGTGGAAATGACAAGAGGTGACCTTCAAATGTGTCAGTCAGAATTGACCAGTGTAGCTGGAGAAAGGTTACTTAGTACTCAGAGAAACAGGCACCCTCCTGGGCTTCCTTTAGCATCAGAACTGACTAAGACTTTCAGTCTAGAACTTTTATCTGACCCTCAGGCCATGCCCTTGGTTCTTCCTTCCTCCAGAAAGAAGCTCCCTGCGGGGCTTTGTTACCTGCGCTCCTGGGGCCTCACATCTCACAGCCCCCACTTCGCCAAAGCATCCATGCCATCCATCGGCTATAAGCAAGGGCATGTACATTTCTACTGGGGTTCTTCTTCCATCTCTGCATAGTAACAGCTCATTTTCCAAAACCCTGGGAATCAGATATCTGGTATCTGCTAATATCAGGGATTGGTACTGAGAGACGCTGCAGCAGGCTCTGTGTGGGGACAGTGCTCCATTACCTTTTGTCACCGGCACATGCGCAGACTAGAAATGGGAAAACGAGAGCCAGCAAAGCCAACCAGTTTCTCCAAGGTTACACCGCTCACGAGTAGTACAATCCTGGACCCAGATTTCCCAGCCATGAACTTCATCTGGTGCACTACCTACTCTCTCCCGCTTAGGACTGGCTTGTATAAACACCAAAGTCACATCACGTGTAACCCAGATGTCCCAGGGGCTTCTGTCGCTGTTCCAATGTATGGCCTCAAATCTCTCTGTGCCTCTGCTTAATTCTGTGTCAAATGGAAAAAGTAATTCCTCCCTTGTCTATGTGTACGGTAATGAGTGTGACAGGGCGGGCCAGTGTAATTATAACACCGTCTATCCCCAAAGATCAGCTCAAATGCTGACTACTCTGCAACTTTCCTGTTAGCAAAGCCTTGCACTCTCCCATCCATGCATGCTCGGAGAACAGAAGTGAGTACAAACTCTGGAATGGCGAACCACTGAGTTTTGACTCAAGCAGGTACCTGCAGGGGGTGGTGTGGGAAATCAGGCTAGGCCAGGACAGTGAGTTGGGCCAGCTTGTGGTTGCTGAGTAAAGGTGTTTTTGAAGGGTGAATGCAGCCCAGTGTTCTGTATGATGAACCTCCAAGCTAAGCAACTGCAGTCTTGTGGGGTCCAGATGTGCCCCCACTACAAAAAAACAAAACAAAACAAAACAAACAAACAAACAAAAAAAAAACCTGTCTCATCGCAGCTGGGATTACTGACTGTTTATACACCCTCATAAAGGTACAGGGAGAGTCACAAGACCCTGCCTGAGTGTCCAGTCACTTCCTCTCACCTGCTGTGTGCACCTTTCCCTTAATAGCATGCTAAGGCCTCAGGGAGGGACTAAGTATTTAGGCCTGGGGACACTAGGGTAGAGTGCTCCATCTATTGGGGCTATGGGGAAGCCCTCATCCTGTCTGGGTAAAGGTTTTGCAGATGGTGCCTGTTTGGGGAAGAGCACAGACACCCCATAAATAACCCCTTACTTATGGTCTGTAAGGAGTACAATAAACTCACGGGTTCCCCCAGAGAAAAGCTTCAGCAGAATTGTGCCTCAGTTTGTCACGGAGGTCTTAGTAGGAGGGGTAGACCCTGTTTTATGTGTCCCTCGCTGGGGAGAAGGGAATTTTAGCTACACCCAGATACCAGAAAGAGAAGGAGGATACGGACAGCAGGGAGAGCTGAAGAAAGCTGTTACAGTAGCCTGATGCCATCGTCAACAGCAAACAGAACGCATAGTCAGGAGAAGCCAGATCTGCTGCCTGAGATCTGCCCAAGAGAGCCCTGGGGCTTGTAACTGGGTATCCAACGAGGGGCAGGGAATGTCGGGGTGATGTGGTGAAGGAAACTGCTTTCCGAAGAGTGGGGTGCTATTCCTGGAAGGTGAAAGAGCAGGCTAAAGACAAAGGTAAAGATTTGTTGACATGTTCAAGCATCAAGAAAGAAGTGCCAGTCTGGGGACTGTCCTTTTAAAAGCCATCTGCATAGGAGTGAGATCAGAAGCAGGAAGTATAAGATGAGGGAACTTGTTATGGCCAAGGAGGACAAGGGCTGGGTTGGATCCTTTGAGTTCTATTTAGAGAAAAGTTTCAAGAAAATGCAGAAAAGAAATGATATATTTAAGCCATGGGCTTAAAATTAATATTGTCTTATGCTGGTTGATGTTAAGAAGTTCCTTACTCCCTCTAGATATTTTCAAATATTTCAAGTATTAAGTTATGATACTAACAGTACCTTGCATGTTGTGAGGATTAGGGATAGGCTGTATCTTTGTTTAGCATTGACAGCCACCGTAATGACCAGCCATGATACTTTTGTCACTGAAGGAGGCCCAGGGTAACAGGTCTCACATGGCCAGTCCCAAGCCATCAGCTGGAAACACTGGGTTATCGCTTGGGGTTACCAGCCGCATCTATTTCAGCAAAGATAAAAGAAAAAAACAGCGGGTCAAACGTCTGTCACCAGCGTCTACAACATGGCTTCAAAAGCGTAGAAGTGTCTGTCGGGTACAGGACAAGACTAAGCTGTTTGAAACCGGTATTAACACTAAGCCCCCTTCACAGGCATCTGGAAAAACTCACCAAGGGGAAAAGTGCCCAGGAGAGGTGGCTGGGACCAAGTTACATGGGACAGGCTGGAGCCAAGAGATAAGAGGTCACTGGTCAGCACTCTACTCTGGGTCCCCCAGGGCTCCACCTCCTGTACCAGAGGCAGCCCAGGACCCTTGCAGAGAGGAAAGGCGTGAAGTGTTAGCAGCTGCTGTGTTCAGAAGAGCACACAGCTGGGCCACTTAGAGCTTTGATGTGATGTTGAGACAATCACTTAGCCTTACCCAGCCTCTCCATCTGCAAAATGTGGCAAACAGTATTTTCTTCCACGTGACTTCTTTCTGTTAAATAGTATCTTATTTAAATATCATAATATATGCAAGATACCTGGACCACATTCATACTTGTGAATATATGATGGCATCATCCCTTCTTACCTACCAAAGCCTACTCATTCATGACAATTCTTGTGGCCTTCGCACTTCTCAATACAGCGATGCCTGTGACTGAGACCTCTAGCCTATCAAACAGTCTCGCAGCAGACACATGGATTTGAGGTCACTGGGGCTAGGCTCTTAGGCCCGTGAGTCTCAACCTTCTTAACGCTGCGACCCTTTAATACAGTTCCCCATATTGTGGTGACCTCAAGCCATAAAAGTATTACATTGCTACTTCATAACTGTAATTTTGCTACGGCTGAGAATCATAAATGTAAAATCTGATACGTGACCCCTGGGGGGTTGCAACCCACAGGTTGAGGACCACTGATCAAAGCTGCTCTTAGCCCAGGAAGGCAGCCTCTGCTTTATGCTTGAGACCTTCCCAGTGTATCTGTGAGCTGTAAATCGAGGGCAGTTGGTTACACAAGAGACACCCCTTATTGCTGATAGTAGTCAAGATCCAAAAGGGACACAGCCACGGCAGTTATCATTGATCAAGCATTAATTTATTAGATTCTGTTTCCTTGCTCTGTACAAAGTAGACGACATTGCTTACTTTTTCAGAAGAGAAAACTATGGTTTGGAGGGGCTAGGGTCTCTGGGCTAGGGTCTGAGAGCTCAGGGTCTCTGGGGTCCTTCATACCCAGGAGAAGTAAAACTCAAGCAAGAGCCTGCTCTGTGCTTTTCACAAGAGAGCTCCTCCTAACGAGGATGATAAATGAGCCATAACTGCAGGTGAAGGGGTAACCTAAAGTGGGAGGCAGGACATGAAATGAACACCAACACCTCTCTATCTGAACCTCCTGGCCTACAAAAGGGGCTGAGAACTCACAAGCTGCTGCTACCCGGAGTTTCGGGGCGGATCGCCTGACAGTTTATGATTGAAACCACTTTGCAAAATTATCAAGTCCCATATAAATGTAAGTTCTTATTAATTGTTATACCCATTAAATAATTAAATCTCGGCCATAATAATGAAACATAAATTGCTGTTAACAGCTATTAATCAAAATGTATGCTGGTGGTAATTATGCCAATTAAGATTCTCAGTAATAACGATAATTAGGACTGATACTGAGCAGTGGCCCATCAGGTGTGGACTGGCACGAAACAGCGTGGATGAACGCACAGCCAAGCTAATAAAGACAGCCAGACTTGAACAGGCCAGCTAGTCTCGCTTCAGGATGAGCATCCTGCCGCGCTGGAGTGGGGAGGACTGAGGAACGCCCACACTGTTACTGTTGGCAAGTATTTGGGTCGCACCTGCCCTGTGGCTATGTGGTTGTGTGGCTGTGTGGCCACGCTTCTGTACTCTGTCCCTTCCAGATGAACCTTCACCCTGTTGAATCAACCATGGGCCCCATGGCCTTGCCATTCTCTCGTATGCCACCATATTGCTCACGTCTTCTGACACCTCCATGTTCCTGTCCCTGAAGATTGCGTTCAGTGAGGTTTTTTTTTTCCCCTTGTTACCCCAGCTCAACCACTTACAAGTGGTGCTTATGTGCCTTTATGCTTCAGTCACCTCTCTGAAATGAGGGTGTCAGCTGCACAGACCTGACAGGATTGCTCTGAGTACTGGTAGAGTATGTAAGACTTCAGGCTAAGGCTGAGCACAGGGGACCCAGCTAAAGCCACCATCACTGTTGCCGCAAGGACACCCAACCTGCATCAGCCACTCTGCCGCCTTCACAGCCCTCTGTCCCGGCCATCTGTGTTGTCACATAGTGGTTGCTCCTTTCACCGCTCCTGAAATGGAAGTGGAGAAAGGTGTCCTCAATCTATAAGCAATAATGAAAGGAATGGTGCAGAGAAGTCATTGCCCATGCAATCTGAAGGTTGGGCTTCCTCTTGGTCTTTCTGGTTACTTATTGATTGGTTATGGAGCATGAGATCTGGAGGTTGCCTTACTCTATGTTTTCCTGCTTACCTGTTGATTGGTGTTGTGTGCGTCCCTTCTCTTTCCCGGGACTCAGTCTCCTCTTCTAGGAAATGGAGCTGGTGACCTCTGGCCTGCCTCTTTGACAGACTGCACTGTCGGGTTGAAATGAGGACACAGATGGCCACTGCTTTGTAAACTGAACGGCACTAATCAAATACAAGATACTTTGACTGTTATTAGAACCATCTGGAAGTTGTTTGGACTTACAAATTGATAGACTCAGTCAACACTTACTTGACTTACACAGACAGCGATTGTTAGGGGTATTTTTTTTTAAATCGTTAACCCTACACATGTTGCGAGTCTTTTTTTTTTTTTTTCATATTCTCCCAATTTTAGAATGTTCAAGTTTCAAGTCTCTAAGCCTGCTTGACAGTAAGGATGCAAAACAGCTCAAGCTGAACCGGTCCTCGAGACTTTCGGTTTCTGTTTCCCTGTAAGGACCATCTAGAAGCAAGGCTAATTACTGAGTTATTAGATACAACTCAGACCATGGGGCATCTTGGGGTTTTAGAAAACCTCCAAGGTTACTTTAGGATAATAGGAAGTTCCTAATGTGAGGGTTACTAAATTTTCAAAAACAAAACAATGATCCAGATGAAAAGAAGCCCTAAATATCCCTTCTAGTTCTGCGGGCTTCTCATCCAATGTCTCCACTACCTGGGTCTTGCTTTGCGTGTAGGAAATGTGGGCACCACTCTCTCACTTTGCTGAAAAACAAATCATTCCAAATCCCAGAGACTTAAACGTCACAGTTCTACAGGCTGGCTGGGTAGTTCTGCTATTCTGCCTGGGCCATGGCAGGGCCAATGGCAATTTAAAATCTTGAGCCTGTTGTTAGACCTGAAATTAACCTATTGAGCCCCACCTGCCCAAGGACCAGGTAACTTCCTAGGATTCTGGGAATCGTAGTTTTTGAGCAATAACACCTGCCTGAGGACCAGGTAAATTCCTGGGATTTGGGGAGGTTGTAGTTTATGAAAAATAACAACAAAGCCTCATGGGAAAGTATGGGTTTTTCCAATATTAGCTCTGCCAACATTTGTCTTGAGGCCACTTACCTGGAAAGTCTCTAGATGATGGTGCTAGCCAAATTCCATCTTGGACAGTATCTAAAATTTTAATAAAAAGCTTGCTTAAATTTGGCCAAATTGGTGGAACTGGTTTTTTTTTTTTTTCATGAATTTCAAGATTAATAACTATGGATATGATAATAACAGAACCAGTGTTTTACCAGGGCCAGATTAATATCTTATCAGGAGTACACTGATTAATAGGTTAAAATGCTGAACTTTTGAAGTCTAAACATAACAGTAGTACAGCAAGACAGAAAGAAATTTGAAACACTTTTCATTTTTCACATATACTTCCTCAGACCTTGACAACTGACCTAAGTTTCCTTTGGAGCTGACAAGCCCCCTCCTTGCAGCAGCATTTGTTGAGAGGTCCTTGAGAGCTGGGCTCAGGGGACAGGACTGGGACTCCCAGGTTTGCCTTTCTGGGCAGGGTCTTTCATACTCTAGGAACCAGTGTGGGTCTCAGCACGCAGCCATGGCTTTGCAAGACAACGAAAGCAGCAACTACACAACCTCAAGGCAGAGCCTGGAAATAGATTCTAAGTAAGTAAAAGACATCAAGATGGACAGGGAAGACAGCACATTGACTTGATTCATGAATTATATCTCACAGGAAGAAAATTATGGATTCTCGAGTGGGGAAGGCATAAGTGATCTTGGCAGAGTTTAAGAAACGGGCAAAATGAAACGAAGGCCAAGTGCTTGTCCACACATGACCGAAGAAAAATCAGAAGTCGATTTAAAAACAGTCTCCCACAACATCAAAATGTAAACTATTTTGAAAAAAGTTTTAAATGTGTGGGACTCTTTAACAACAGCCTCAGCGGAACCTTGCTGAGGACTGTGGCAGAGGCAGCCATGAGCCTTTGCTGGATGGTTCCACGTTGTTAAAGGATCGCCCTTCACACATTCAACTAGGAAGCTGAATAAAATGACGACAGAAACTTCTAAGTAAATGACAAGGGATTATATAATTTATGTAGAAAGTAAAGGATCTAGGTGATCCAGATAAGACAAAATATTTTCTTAAGAAAAATAAGAGACTGAGGAGATGGCTTAGTGGTTAAGAGCCCTTGCTATGCAAGCAGGAGAACCTAAGTTCAAATCTCTAGCACCCATGTCAACAGCCAGCCAAGGTCGTGTGTGCACCTCTAACTCTACTTAGGGGAGAAGGCTAGGGCTTGCTGGTCACCAGCTGAGCTCGGCTTCAGTGACAGACTGTCCCCAGGAACTAAAGTGAAGAGAGCTAGAGAAAGACACCCGCCATCCTCACAGGCACCAACATGCAGAAACACTCACAAATGTAAAAGAAAGGGAAGCTGGAGGGTAACTTCCACAATCCAATTCCAAGATTTTTATAACTCTACATAGATCCTGACACTAAGATACATATTCTTCTCAGCAAAGGTGCAAAATTAAACAAACATGAGAGGCTTTCGGTGAATGGATGTTTATCTGGGGCGGGGAGGAGGGGGAGAGAATAAAAACCACTCCAGTCCAGTCCATATACTGAACAGGGATCACCTCAAGATAGACCTTCAACCTATACGTAAAATCAAACTTTCTAGAAGAAAATGAATGGAAAGGCCTTTGCCTTGAGCCAAACAGGACTTCTGAGATCAGCCAGCACGGGCAGAGAGGGTCTGTGGAGCACGGTGAATGGCTCGCTGCAGGAGCCACTCGCTAGTGAAGTCACTGCAGGCAGTCACTTGGGCCTTGGAGAAAAAGTCAAGACTAATGAAAATTCCTCTGCAAAGTCTTTACAGCTCTCTGAAGTCAGCGAGACTCACGTGGGCTTTCTGTTATTCCACGGAGCCGGGAAGGGCCTATCTGAACAAACAGTTACTGCCTATTTCCCTTGCTTTCAGGCCCAAATCCAGAATTTGTTGTTGTTTTAACATTTACCACCAACACTCCAGCCACCACCTTACAGAGTTATTTCCCTGTCTTTGGAGAATTGAGGAATTATTATGCAGGCTTTGAAAACTGCCTCACGCCCTTATTCCTGCTCCGGCATTTTTTGCATGAACCATTTTCCAAACACAGACAAGATACTGAGTCGTTTTAGATTTCAGTATAACGAGGATTGGAAGACCTGATTGCCACACCCCTCTCCACTCTGATACCTTCTGAATCTCTGATTCTATAAGAAAAAAGACTTTGCAGAAGAACCTGGGTGACAATTGATATTATAGCCAACCAATACCAAGTCATATCCAAGAATAAGGATGATACCATAATTTGAATGGTGAGTGTTCCCCCCAAAACCTGTTAAAAATCTGATCCTCAAAATGGTGCTCTGGGAAGTGGGAGAATCTTAAGGGAGTGGTGATTTGGGGGAGGTCTTTAGGCTTTTGTGGGTCTGCCCTCAAAGGAACTGTGAGAACAGGCCTCTTTATCTTCCTTGCTTTGCTTACTGGCTCAAGGTATAATAAGCAGGTTTGTTCTGTCATATATTTCCACAGATGCTCAAGGCAATGATGCCATCTGATCTTGGACTGGCATCTCTAAGTCTGTAAGTCAAGACAACCCTTTCCTCCTTAAGCTAACTGTCACAGGTATTTCATTACCATGATGGTAAGCTGGCTGATGCACTTGACCTCTCTTCCTGGTTACGGTTAAATACAACCCACATGAGACTCAAGGAAGTGGATTCGCTAATCACATTTGAATTGACTCATGTCTTGATCTGTTCATTATATTAATATTTATTTGTACTCATCATGCAGCAGGCACCCTGGGGGGTACCAAAGCCTAGTGTTTACCCCAAAATGTGAAAGACAAAATGCTTCCAACCCAGATGACTTGCACCTGCTTGCTTACTTCCTGGGGTAGTTTTCTCACCTTTCTGGCCAACTGCTATTCTTCAAAGATGTCAACATGATTTTCTCTGGGAGAGGTTTTCTGACTCTGAATTGGTTAAGCTTCCTTGTCATGTATTTCCTCAGATCCACCTATTATTGTGTCCCTCGTTGATGTCTTTCGTTGCACTAAAGAGGGACGATGTTGAATCTACAACTGTAAACTAATGATGAATGAACATAAAATAAATTGTGGATGTAGAATGTCTCCTGGAAGAAAGGTCAATGGCATTTGGAGGTTACCTTCTGAAAAGTAGTTTCCCAGCTAGGCTCAAAGTTGCTGTGCTCTTCAATGTTGAAGGCCAAGTATTACTATGCTACCAAGTCAATTTTATGACACAGCTCAAGAATGCAACGGGCTAGTTACCGGGAAGTAGCCAAATTCTTCACCAGAGCATCACTATTCTCTCCCAAACAAGTTTTCAGCCATCTGCCTGCATTCACATCTTGCTAAAAGTGTCCATTTATTTGAAACACAATTACCATGCCGCCTTCTTTGCTGACTAGACCCACGCTATTGTTTTATACTTCCATACTGAGCCCTTCACTCCACTCTCTCTAGGATAGTCCCCTCATCTGACTCAGACACATCTCAAATGCCATCCCTGTTCTGTGGGTGTTTCCCTGGTAACCTGCCCTTCTTCTCTCCTTCCTTTCCAGGTCCACTCCACAAGTTTTTACATGTTGTTTGTACCTAAAAGTTGGTCTACTTAGCATCAGGGTTTATACTCTCTATGTCTTTCTGTAGCTCATTAACTCCTCCAGGCCAGAAGCAACACAATGGAGACAAAGCCCGTGATAAACCTCTGCTGAGTTAAATTTCCCTCAACTATCTACTCATGAGATCCACTTGTCTCCCTGCTCCCTGTGGTGGCCACTGGGAAAACATAGGATACATTCCTCTTGAAAACCATGAGCTGGGTGGTAGTGCCAGCTCACACCATTAATCCCAGCACTCAGGAGGCAGAAGTAGGTGGATCTCCGTGAATTAGAGGCCAGCTCCTGAGTTCCAGGACAGCCAACGTTACACAGAGAAACCCTGTCAGAAGACCCCTAGCCATGGGAGCAACATTGGTGATTCAACTTAAAGATAATGCTTGTCTGCCCAGTACCAGGAGGTAAAGGTTTTCTCCACAAACTCATGCAACATTATTAAGAAGCGTAGTCTTTGGAGGGAGGGCAGTTAAGTCACGATGGTAGAGTCCTCACTGATCAAATTAATGACCTTCTACAAGGCACATCAGAGAACTCTCTTGCCACATATAAGAATACAAGGTGTAACTGGCTGTCTACAACTTGGAAGAGGGTCCCCATAAGAACCAGGCCATGAGGCCACCCCTGTACGTCATTCAGCTTCAAAAACTCTGAGGAATGAATGTATGCTGTTCAGAGGCCAGCCAGTCTATGGAACTTTGATGCAGTAGCCTTGAGTGACTGGGAGACTCAGGGAAGTATATTTTAGGGTCAACCCTGAGACAAGTGTCGGAGTGTGCACGAAGGTGAGGTGGTAGCTGATGACTCAAGAGAAGAGGTCGAGAATATACATCCTTTGTATATATCAATCACTGTAAGGGCTGGTCTTCTCAGTTTGTGAGATGAAAATCTATTAGGAAGTTTTAAGCCATCAGGCGGAATCAAGTGGCATACATTTTAAAGTGCTCGGCGTTGAGATAAGTGTAGAGGTACAAGAAGAAAAACACAATGATTAGGACCGAAAGCACAGGATGACTTAGGCTGGAGTGGCAACATTTGTGGGATGAGGGATGGGGGAGCTGTGATGTATTTAGAAAGAAGATGGTAGATTGAATGTGGAGTGCAATAAAAAGAGCAGCTTCAGGAAAGACAGCTCATGGGGGAGGGAACGAGTGATTTGATGAAAGAAATTGTTTATTAAAATGGGAAAGACTGAGAGAAACAGATCTTGTCCAGAATCCTGGGAATTATGTTGTGGAAAACTGAGGTTGGGGGTTGTCTCAGTACCTGAGAGACTTGGCATTGGCAATTAGAAAAAGAACCAGAGTTCACCAAAGAGATGCAGGGACAGAAGCTGGGGCTTGTCAGCATACCCACAGCATTTTGCCCTGCAAGACTAGGTGACATCATCAAAGAGGGTAAGCCCAGGAAGATGGGGCCCTGGGAGTGAACCCAGGCACATTCAAGTTTAAGAAATCAGAG